CGTTTCTTTCCTCAGGCAAAGTGTCTCTGTCCCGTCTGCCTTCTCACCATGCTGTCAGGGACATAGTGGGTGATGGCACTGGCGCAGAGGTGGTCACATGCTGGCTGCCAGGGTAAGGGTCTAACCTTTCCACTGGCCTTGGGCCCTTTTATGCATCACTTCTGCTGACAGATCCGCAGGTGGGGTGGCCTGTGGTCTGTTTGTCTTCTCACCGGCATGGCTTCATGACTGTCCCTGAGGAGCAGAGGCGTCTTTCCCTCCTGACTAGCTCCTTCGCCCAGCTCCTGCAGGCCCTGCCCGCAGGTCTGGGTTTGATTCCCATCCAACCCCCAGCTTGTGAAACATCCCGCTGGCAAAAAGGTTTGGGTAAAGGCACAGATGTGATTGATCCCACTCCTCCTTTCCGAGGGGAGCACCTTGAAATGCCCTTTCTACCCAAAGCCCTAAAAGGGAAGCAGACCACAAATCCCCGGGTCTTCAGTGGGCCCAGCAGCAGCATTTGAGGTTCTTCCTGACCCACCCACTCTCACCTCGCAGAGGGCCCAGGAGTAAGATCGCTGAGTCTTTGAGGGACTCAGACAGAGTTTTGAAAATCATACCTTAATGTTGTATTTGATACTATATGAAATAATATATATGAGTTGTTAAGTATAAAAAAAGGGAACATCTGTGAGAGTCCATCACGCAGTGCCATCAAGCGTCAAGATGTTCGATGAGAGTAATGAGCCAAACCAAACTTGGAGTAACCATCAAGCGTTTATTTCCTTACTGCTGGGGAGTGAGCAACAGGCAAAAAGAAGAGGTGCCCGCCCGCCGCCCGTGTTCCCATCATTCCCCTGGAGGATGAAACTGGCCAGACAAGCATTAAGTGGCATGCTGTGCAGATGGGGGGAATCCTCTCACTGCCCCAAACTAAAGACTCCTACTTTTTATGGCTGGGGAATAGAGGGAGGGAGAGGGGAAAGGGCTAGGAGTGGAAAAGTCCCGAGGCAGACGGGGAAAACGTGCCTCAGCCAGGGCTTCCAATAAGGTGGCCTCTACAAGGGGGCACCCAAGCTAGGAACATGGCGGGTATGAGTATGAGCGTGGCCAGCCTGTGCGGTGAGCCTTCAACAGCAACTCCCTTCAGAGAATTGCCATACACCTGCTGTGCAACAAGTCTGGTGCGGAGAGGGCAGCTTCCCCCCATGAGGACTCACAGGCAAAGTCTTATAATGACCTATGGTCGGAACTGAAGATGACAAATACGATTTTTTAACCTGGAACTGGACTTTCCAACTCCAGGGCCTGAGCGGGAAGCATAGGCTACCCTACCCTGGACTCAAATGAGCCAGGCATTGAGGTGTCGGGACCATGCTGGTGAATCATTGTGAGGGCCACGATCAAAGTCACTCCCAGTAGGATAATCAGGCTTGCCTGGAGAAGTGAAGATGGCTATGGGCCCCATGGGCTAAAAAGCTGGAGAAAGATGTCCTTAGCGCCTTAGGATCTACTCTAGAGAGCCAGAGGCCTTCTGCCTAAGCCTCCTAATAGACCGTTCTCTTTTGCCAAGTTCATTCCTCTAGGTTTTGGCAAATTCACAGACCTCCATCCTTGGCTGGCCAGCTGGAAGCCAGGACTGCGCAGTCGGCCAACACTGTGCAAGCCAAGTTGTTGGAGCTGGTGTTCTGTGACTCCAAGGCTGACACAGTATCATTAATAACCTCAGTGAGGGTTAAGGACAGCCTTTTCTAATTGGGTGACCCCAACAGTGGGAGTGAGTGTACACAAGAAGGCCACTGCCAGCGTGGCCAAAATGGCTCTGATGGCGGATCCTGCACCCTTCTTCCAGATGTTCTCGTGTCCTCCAGAAATAGGACTGTTTACACTGAGGGAAGTGTTTTGCCCCTGCAGAATCCAGTTGTGGCAGTGTATCACGTCCACAGTAATAAGTTGGCGCATTTGAGTCACTAGAAAGCCCCTAGTAGGCCAGTAATTGCGTCTCAAAGAGTGTGTACCTTTCAGCCAATTCCAGGAGTTTATGGATCAAAAAGCCAAACAGGGCCACTGGCCCATGGCACTGTTCTTCTGCCATAGGCTCCAGATGGCAAATCGAGAAGCTGCTGGGCCCTCTAACTCAGAGGCAAATGTGGATTCATGGGGCCAAGGGAAGGGTGGCTAGGGTGGCCCATTGGAGGGCCTCCACTCTAAGGAGGCAGCCTTTCTCGTAACCCAGTAGACAAATGCCATTAAGATCCCCACATGGACTATGTGAGAACACCAGTAGCCAAAGACACCCACTAAAACCACCTCCTTTATGTTCGTCATTGGCACGAGAGGTCATGCTCCTTCCCAGATAATGCCCAGGACTTTCACTGGATACTAGGTCCTTGTGCCTTACCTGTGTTAATGGTACAGCTGTATTGCTACCTGCGGGTCAGTAGGCTGTTCAGTCCTGGCTGGGCAGTGCCCTTGTCTGGGCCCACCAGGAGGATGCCATCAGCATGACAAAGGCTGGTGCCCCCTCCAGGTGCAGGACTTTTTCCAGGCCGTGTTGATGGTGGAGCCAGAGAATTTAGGTCGCCTTGTGGTAGGACATTAAAGGTGAATCACAGCACATTGCACATAAAGGCGAAGTGATCTCGATCACCTGAGTAGAGAGGACCTGCTGAAAGAGGCATTTTTCAATATGAACTGGTGCATACCGCGTTTCCTCACCTTGGGCAATAGCCTCTGTCAGTCATGAGATCAGGTACCATCAGGGCTGTGGCAGCGAGCCTCCTGCAATCAGTGGTGAGTCTCCGGATACCGTAGGCCTTGAGCACAAACAAGCCATACGGGTCTATGGAACGGAGGAATCGTCTCATGGAGAACTTCAGCTTCCTTGACTGGCAATGTGGGTGGTTATTTCTTTTTTTCCTCCAAGCAGCCAATACCTTTTAGGTGCTGGTAGGTAACTGAGTAGGTTCACAGATCATCCACACGCCCCACTGAAATGCAGCGATTCTTGGCAGGGATTTGGGGCAGAGGCAGTAGGAGCACAAACAGACAATACATCTGTACCCCCAGTACATTCCCTAGTGGGAGCCATAGCAAAGGGCGTCTGGAGGGACCTAAAAGGACCCACCCGTAGCTGGGCTTGGGCAAGGGTCCCAGTGGTCATCTCAAATCCAAAAAGGGAGAGCTTTATCTGTTTGCCTCTCACCCAGGAGCCAGGGTTTCAGGGATCAGTTGCCTGGGCACGAGCAGCCAAAGGCCCAAGAAATGCAGTTCTCTCCCTCATCCCCATTGACACGTGACCTTGGCAGATAGAGTCTCCAGTCTCTTACGGGGACAGAGGGACCTTGGCCTGCCCCCCGGTCTTGTCTTGTTTGTTTTCGAATGCCAAGAGGTGCAGGTAAGACTGGCGGTGCTCCACTTCACCTCTAGGCTCGCCGGGAGGAGCTGCTCGTCAGGTGCCGCACAGTTGCTGCTTTGTCCTGGATCCCTTTGGCCCATCAATCTCCTTTGAGACGGTCACGAGTAACCATCTTTTGGGGAAGGCCTTTACCCAGGATGCCCAGGGGAGGGCACCAGATTGTTACTCTTACGCCGCTCTTTCCCCTGATCAATCTTTGTTTTCTTGCCAGTGGCCACTTTTTCCATGTCCAGGAATTTGTCAGTCAAGACTTGGACTGTGTCATGGACCGAATGACCAGACCTCATGAAGAAGTTTAACTGGGTCTGGTGACCAGCGTGGGCAAGGCTGGAAATCTGAGCCTGGCTAGCGGTCTTACCTCCTCCTGTTCTCAAGCCCTCACTGGAAACCCAAGGAATCACGAGGACAGCTTGCAGGGGTGCTACAGCCTCTGCAAGCACGGTCCAAACCAAGGACCTTGTCGGAGGTGGGCCAAACGTCTCAGGGCCAAACACTGCCCATCGAGGAAGGTGTTAGGTGCTGCTGCTCTTCCTCCCTTCCTTCCTCCTTAGGCAAGAGTAGCTGTGGTCAGGGCACTTCAAAAGAGGTGGTCTGTGATAATGCACCCCCATCCCTCACTAAGTTTAGGGAGATCATCTTTTTCACTGTGGAAGCAAACTATCCAAGTCTCTGGAGCTCTTGGGACCACTGGACAAAGCAATCCCTAAGGACTCCACACTCCTTCCCTTAAAGGCATGAGTCTCAGTCACACACTGCATCCCAGGATGTCCACGGGAATCAGGGGCCCGCTTAAAGCCAATAGTTATGGAATGCATGCAGCAGGGTCTCTGACAGTTTTTGGTGCCAACTTCCCCTGCATTCTTAAAGTTCCTTTTGTTGGATTTCCAATTTGACCCCCTGGGTGAGCCCAGCCAGAGAGTTGAGAGCTAAAGACAACCGATGGTTCCCCTCAGAACTGGACCGTTCCTGTAAACGACCCCTAACACCACCCAAGGCCCATTGGCACGGCAGTGGAAGTGCCCCATGGGACCCTAAGGTTTTCGATTCTCTTCCGAACAGCTTTGTGTTCAAATCAGCCACCCTGCTCGCTCCATCAGTTTGTTGAGTTGCCAGGTTCCAAAATGGTTAATTAGGACGAGACAAACTGAAGGTGAAAATCAAGCCTTTCTTCACCTACTGTGACAGTGCCAGCAAAGGGTGAGGAGGAGAGGGGCTGGCTGCACCGCCCCGCTTCTCCCCGTGGAGCAGCGCTGGGCCAGGGGCAGGTGAATGGGGGCAGGCAAGAATGTCACCCTGCCAACATGCCCTGCAGGAAAAGCTCCTGCCTTTTTATAGACCTGGGTTATCCGAGGAAGGAAGGGGAGGAAGGACCAGCAGTGGAAAAGAGCTGAGTAAGAGCGAACCGCCTCACGAAGGTCCCCAGGAAGGCAGCCTCTGAATGGAGGCGGCCTGGGCGGGAAAAGCAGACATGCACACGAGCATATGTGACTCTTTGCAACTCTCTTCAGAAAACATCAGTGCCCTGGCGACATGTCTACAATAACCAAGTCCCGTGTTGGGAGGGCAGCTTCCCCATGAGGATGGCCAGGCGACTGACTCATGGTCAGTCTGCTGGGTTGTAGTCCCTGGGGAAGCAGAGCTGGTCCACAGTCCCTGAACAGGCAGGAGGCAACCCTCCGGGGTGCAGGTAGCTGCAGACCGTCCAGGTGCATAGGAAGGAATAGAGGTGCTGGTGGGCAGTGTCCATGATGGGCTGAGTGCAGGGGTTGAGGGGGGCGGTCAGGGGACAACCGGGGGAGCTCACAGAGGGCCTGAGGGCACTGGTGGGTGGCAGGCCTGGTACGTGGAGAGTCAGCATCGAGCAGGCTGCAGGAAGGTGACCACCAAGCTGGGCTGGGGCTGCAAGGTCAGTGAACAATGTGGAACTTGTGAGTTCCACAAATAGACCAGAAGAATAAACCAGAAAGTCCATAAATACACACAAGTAGACATGGAAAATCAGAATATGATAAAAGTGACAAATCACTGGAGCAAAGATGAACTTTAAGAAATTGTGTGGGAACAACTGCTGAACCTACTAGCAAAAGCTAAAATTAGATCTCTATCTCAGTCCATACATAAGGATAAACTCCTAATGGATCAGGTATGTAAAAGTAAAATATGAAACCCTACAACAACTAAAAAAAAAAGCAACAACTGGTGAATTCCCCTATAAACAAATTTAGAGAAAGGATTCTAACTCTGACTCAAATCCAGATGCAATAAAAGAAGAGGGTTGGTAAAATTGACTGCATGAAAATAAAAATCTCCCACATGGTTAAAAACATAGAGATAGGTAAAATCAAAAGATAACTGGCAAACTCTCAAAAATTGGTAAAATACACCAAAACCCAGAGGAAAAATGGACAGAATTGTGAACAATTCAAAACGAAAAAAGCCCATAAATACACAAAAAGAAATCTAATTATCATTCATACTTTGGAAGTGCAATGAAAACAGTGAAAGAGTAAAGTCAGTGAAAATGGCAGAGGAAGGACCTCCACAACTTCTCTCCTCCAGAAAAGCCAGAACACTGGCAAACATCATTAGAATCAACATTGCCAGCACGCAGGAAATTAATCAAAGGCCTACAGCAATCTGGGGAGCATGTATTGAAGAAAAATGGTTGAATATCGGTAAGAACAGTGAGCTTTGTGGCATTCCAGTTTGCCCTCTTCTCATCCACCCTAGCTCCATGGAACGCCAGCAGCCTGCAGTCAGGGTGAAAACTAGCAGCCCAACAGCACTGCAGAGAACAGGAGAGCATCGGACAGTAGATGAAATTAATTTCCATTGCAATTAAATTTAGTCTTGCTGATTTATTTTGCCTTTTGGAAGACAGTTAAGTCATTTTAGAGCAGTTTTAGAAAAATTAGATGATAGTACATAGAGCTCTTGCATACCTCATACCTAGTTTCCCCTTTTACTGACTTCTTACCTTAGTATGTTATATTTGTTACAATTAATAAACCAAAATTGATACATTTCTACTAATTAAAATCCACACATTATTTAGATTTCCTTAGTTTTTATGTAATGTCCTTTTTCTGTTCCAGGATTCTGTCTAGGGTACTGCATTATATTTAGTAGTCATGTCAGGTTCCTCTCTGCTGTGACGGTTTCTCAAGCTTGCCTTGTTTTTGATGACTTTGACAGTTTTCAGAAGCAGTGGTCAGAGTTTGTAAAATGTCTCTCAGTTGGGATTTGTCTGGGTTTTTTGCATGATTTGGCTGGAAGTTATGTGTTTTCGGAGGAAGAGCAAAGAGGTGAAATGCCATTTTCAGCAAATTCATGGGTACATACTATTTACTGTTTACGTGGCTTATCACGGTCAATGTTGACCTTGGTTCCCTTTCTGAACGAGTGTTTGGTAAGTTTTTCTACTGTCAAGTTGCTTCCCTCTTCCCTTTTTAGGGGCTCTGGGAGGAAGTCACATGTGCAGCCCACAGTTAAGGAGTAAGAAATTATGTTCTGCGTCTCTGAAGGCAGAGTATCTACACAAATTATTTAGAATTCTTTTGCATGGGAGATTTTTCTATTCCCTGTTTATTCCTTCAATTATTTATGTCCAAATAACTTGATTCTCATAGCATAAAATTCATCCTTTTAAAGTGTACATTAAGTAATTTTTAGTATATTCATGAAGTTGTACAGTCATCACTATTTAATTCCAAGACATTTTTGTTACCCGGAAAAGAAGCCCTATACCTTTCTCGAGCGCTCGGTAGACCACTGACCTGCTTTTGTCTCCGCTGCCTTGCCTGTTCGGGCGTTTCCTGTCAAGGAAATTATACAGTACATTGCCTTTTGTGACTGGCTTTTTCCACTTAGCATAACGTTTCCAAGATTTGCCTATGTTGCAGCATGAATTAGGACTTTATTACTTTTTATGACTGAAGTATATTTTATTGTATGGATATACCACACTATCCTTTCATCAGTTGCTGAACCCCTGACTTATTTTTACTTTCTGGTCATTATGAGTAGTGCTACAATGAACACACACGTACAGGTTTTTGTGCGGACCTGTTCCCAATCCTCTTTGGTGTGGAATTGCTGAGTCATATGGTAATTCTGCTTAACATTCTGAAGAGCTGCCTAACTGTTTCTAACGTGATGGCTCCATTTTACGTTCCCAGTAGCAAAGTGTGAGTTCCAATTCCTCCATTTCACTAACACTTGTTATTGTCCATGTTTTTTATTATAGCCACCCTGGTGGGTGTGAGGGGCATTTCACTGTGGTTTTGATCTGCATTTCCCTCATGTGCATGTTCTCATGTGCTTATTGCCCACTCGTGTTCTTTCTTTGCAGAAATGGCTATTCAGATCCCTTGCTTATTTTAAAAATTGGGTGATTTGTGTTTTTATTGGTGGGTTGTAAGGGTTTTTGTGTATTCTGGATACTCAACCCTTATTGGGAATATGATTTGTGAGTACTTTCTCCCATTCTGCGGGTGGTATTTTCATATTCTTGATGGGGTCCTCTGAAGACTCAAGTTTTATATTTTGCTGACGTTCAGTTTATCTATTTTTTATTTAGTTGGTTGTGCTTTTGGTGTCATATCTAAGAAATCATTACCTAATTCAAGATCATAAAGATTTACCCCTATGCTTTCTTCTAAGAGTTTTCTAGTTTTAGCTCTTATATTTAGGTTTTTGATGATTTTGAGTTATTTTTGTGTACACTGTGACTTCACTCTTTTGCATATAGATACCTAGCTGTTCCTGCATCTGTACTGATATCCTCTATTCGGTGAGACGACATTTCCACACTTGTCTTTAGTTATTGGGAAATATTTAAAATAGCCAATTTAAAGTCTGCTTCATCAGTCCAATGTCTGGGCTTCCTCAGAGACATTTTTTATTGAATACTTTTTTCCCCTGCGTGTGGGCCATACCTTTTTGTTTCTTTGCATGTCTCATAATTCTTATTGTTGAAAACTGGACATTCTTACATAATATAATGCAGCAACTCTAGAAATGTGATTCTGCCCTTCCCCAGGGTTGGTGGTGGTTATTTATTATTGTATCTGCTTAGCGACTTTTCTGAACTAATTCTACAAAGGCTGTATTCCTTGTCACATGCGACCAACGATGTCTGCTCTGTCCCCGTGTGGTCAGCTAATGCTTGGACAGAGATTCCTTAGATGCCTGGGAACAGTGAGTCTCACAGCTGTCAGTTGGCTCTGTGTGTATATCATGGTAGCACATCTTCAACATCCAGTAGGATGCCAACTGACGACACCATCCTAGCCTTCACTCCTGCTTGCACAGAGCCTCAAGGTCAGCCAGAGGTGAGAGATGAAGGCCTTCTCACATCTTTCTCAAGCACATGCAGAGCCCTGGGCGTGAGCACAGCCCTGTGTGTGGAGGGGAGCTCCCAGATTCCCAGGAATATGTGAGAGTTTTACAAAGTCTCCTATGGACATCTTATTACCCCGCTTCAACTTTTCATCTTTTCGGTTAGCCTATTATTTGCTCCCAACTATTGTCCACTGCCTCAGGCAGGTGTGATGGTCAACAGTTGACTGTGATCATTTTCAGTAATTGGCCCCAGAGGAAAGGCTGTTCGCACCCTGCAAGCTCTGAGTCAGGTCAAATATACACAGCCTTGCGAGCTAGGGTCCTGCAGGGAATCAGGTCAAATAATGAGAGCTCCCTGGGAATGGTGCTTTAAAGGAACTCCGACGCTGTCCTGTTCTCTGCAGTGCTGTTGGGCTGCTAGTTTTCACCCTGACTGCAGGCTGCTGGCGTTCCATGGAGCTAGGGTGGATGAGAAGAGGGCAAACTGGAATGCCACAAAGCTCACTGTTCTTACCGATATTCAACCATTTTTCTTCAATACATGCTCCCCAGATTGCTGTAGGCCTTTGATTAATTTCCT